AGTAGCCACCCACCATTCATGCAGCTTTGGAAATAGCTCATCTGTGAAGAAGAGAACATGCCAGATCAATCTCCCAGAACAAAAGACTGTTTAAAAGCCTTTGTATGAATATTTTCATGTAACTGTAACAAGCCATACAAAGCACACTTGAACTCCTGGAAAGTCATTGGAAAGTCCAAGCTTAAAGATTCTGCTTCCATTCTCTGTTAAACTAACATGACATACTGATATAATAAATAGACAGGCGGACACAGAGATAATGGCGGTGTTCCAATGTTTACATTGTTAAGTTTGTGTGACACAAGCTTTGGTCCCCCTTTAATGGACACTATAGTCATCAGAACAACTACAGCTTATTGAATTTGTTCTGGTGAGTAGAATCATTACCATTAGGCTTTTTGCTGTAAAAACTGTCTTTTCAGAGAAAATGAAGTGTTTACATTACAGCCTAGTGATAACTTCACTGGCCACTCCTCAGATAGCTGTTAGAGATCCTTCCTGGGTCATGGCTGCCTAAAATGCATCCAAACATTCAGTATCTCCTCCCTCTGCATGCAGACACTGAACTTTCCTCATACAGATTCATTGATTCAATTCATCTCTATGAATATGCTATATTTATGGAGGCACGAGGGGCCCACGGGGGCTAGATGGTGGTTTTAACACTATAGAGTCAGGAATACATGTTTGGGTTCCTGAGCCTATAGTGATCCTTTAATGCTGTTTGACTGTATCTCCCATCAGTCATAAAACCACGAACAGTGAGCAGTTGAGATTATTAAAAGCCATGGTTAATTGTCCCAAGTGATCTGGTAAACTGTCTAACATACAGTATATCCGAGACATTATGCTGTAATTCCAACCATTGTTTGTATTTGTTCATGCATGTTACATGTACAATAAACATTTCTGCAAATCTTGCACCTCTGTTGACCCACATACCTTGCACACAATGTTTTTTGCTGCTGTGAGGTCAGGGTGTGTGAGTAAACAGACTTTTGGATAGTGCTTCTAAACAAGCAGTCTTCAGTCTGTATCCAAACAACAACTCTTAAGATTCCTAGCCAGCCAGCACGGGCTGATTGTAGTGTAAACACCGCTGTAGAGCAATGTGTTAGATGTAAGTAGAAGCTGCCTCTTGGTTAATTGTTTTCCAAAAAGACGATCTGCAGGCCTCTATATCGACACACAAAGAACAGTTTTACAAAACTGCTCAGGAAAATTCTACCAGCTAGATCGAAAGATTAAAAGAAATAATAAATTATTCTGTGTAATATCTTGGTTTCATCTGTGTCTTTTTCCGGTTGATTGGAATAATTATTTTATATTTATGTCTTTTGTCTCCACATTAATATACGTCTCTATTACTGAAAAGTACTAATACACAATCTGAGTTACGGTTTCTTCAGGTCTACACTTAGAGTTACTGATACATAATAAAATAACAAAGGATGTTAAACAGCAGATGGTAATTGCTGGACTCCTGAAGGGATAGTTATCGTTACATAGCTGAACAGGAAAAAGAGCCATGTCCCTTTGTTCGGTTACTATATAGATGTACCCATGCTGACGTCAGAGTATAACTCTAGCCATATAAGGACAAGACCCCCAATCCACATTCCAGAGTTCTCAGACAACGAAAGCCTTGTGAGTTATTAATTCTGTTACTTATGTCAATCCAGACATCTATACATAATCAACAGAAACATAGAATATCAATATTCTACATTCTGCTTCCTGGTCTGCGTGAGATATATATATATAAACAAAATGCACAATCACATATAAGCCTGCCACAAAGTCAATGTACCCCATTCTTGGCAGGTCCTACTCTAGCAGCCTAATGCCTATAATGGCAGGCTTATGCAATATTTGATCATATAATGTAGCTAAACCCCCATTATTTTTTGCCTAGGTGAGGTGTTTTTAAATAAAACTATTACAATCTGTGAGATTTGAAATCATTGTTTAGTGAATAAGCGACTGCGCTGGATTCTGTATTTTGTATGTTGTATATATTGACCCCAGCAGCACCCTATAATGTATGCATGTTCAGGCGATTTCAGCCCTCTTGGTTATATATATATATACACACACACACACACATAAATATACACACACACACACATATCTATATATTCTCACCGACAATGCTCTGTTATCCAAATGCCATTCTAACCGTATGTTGTATATATTGATAAATTAAATAATGTAAACTATAACTACAAAAGATTCAACATAAAAAGCACCAATAACCAAGAGGACACAAATAAAGAAAGTAAATGAATTACATAAACAATCACTTTAAGGTGCAGGTGGGAGAGGGGAAGATATATTTAAACATGACAATACAGACAAATCTCTACATGAAGACGGAACATAAATGATAACAATTTGTACAGTCAGCAAGGTTTGACTCACACAACTAGGAACTTTAACTAAACACTACGTCCCGAAATAGACAACGATTATATCAATTACATGTTTGGCAGCTGCAGAAACAGCAGTTTGAAATGAGTTTTTCATTAAAAATATATCTTAACGGCTTTGAAAAAAAGTTAATGCTTCCTCCTTTAGAAGTGATAATTGAATTTCCATTTTTATGAAGAAAATTTAAAAAAATATATATATATTTTTTGCACCTTCTGTTTCCTTGATACAAAGCAAAAGAGGAAGGCTGCCAACACACCGTCTACCATGCACACACCACCGGCTTGGAGCACCCATAGGAGAATAGACCGTTCCCAAGACAATGTAGGATGTATGGACCGACGATAGAACACGTCCTGAACGTGCACATTTGTTTTTAGAAACCATTAGAGAAAAATGGGGATTGAACAATAGCTTATTACACTCTTCATATAAAAAAATTACAAAACGTACAACAAATATCTACAGACTGACAAAAGGATTTTAAATGTCATCTCTACATCCACTCTATATCAGAGAACGTCTAGACACAGAAATGTTTATATAAAGGAATTCTAGAATCAGCATCATGGAAAGTGACTTCATTTCGAATAGATCTGACTCATTTATTAATAAGTACATAAAGCATAGAATCGGTTAGAAGAAATGCAGCTCTTATTCTGAGAAAGTTTAAACAGTTTACACCCCCTTCCCCATTAGGGAAGAATTCATCCTCTCCGTTCCAACATAAAATCAGATAAATAATTGACGTGCCTAAGGATATAGGAAATTAATTTGCTATACTGTTTTCTTTATAAATCCAAACACGATAAACTCACTAAACTCTGGCACTAAGCATTGGTGTGTGTGTGTGTGTGTGTGTGAGAGAGACATATATGCACACAGTTCCACATGGAGCCTCTCCAACACACAGATATACTACAACCTCCCGTCCCTCCCCCCCAACACACACACACACACACACAACAAAAACAAATTGCATAAAGTAAACTACAACCTTAACTGGGACAGATTTCCCAATCAGCTGTAACAGACTCTGGCTGAGTTCATTGCGGGGTTCAGCTGAAACAATCTATGCTCACTGAAGTAAATGGGAACTCTAATCAGGCTCTAGAAATGATTCTTCCTGCCTATCACTGATTTGGGGAATTTGTAAGCCCCCACAAACAGGAGTGTTAACTAGAAATACATTGATAGTGGAACATATACTAAGCAGAATAGAATTCAGTGCTATTTACACCCACCGATATATATGAATATATTCGTAGAAAATGATGACGACTCCCTTTCCAAAATAAAAGAAAGCACTTTTTTATTATAAGAGACTCTCTAGTCGCATTTCTCTAACAATGCAACCTCGGTTCGTCAGCAATTAGTGATCTCGAAGGATTATCTATGCAGTCACCTTTCTCCCTATCTTGATGGAGGATGCAAATTAATTAGGCTGATACAAACTAGGGAGAGGATGTAATTACACAAATTAACAGCCGAACAGAGTGCACAAAGTTTAGCTGAGTGATGACACGTCTCATTACGGAGTGGAGTAAAGATACCGTTTAGGATTTTAAAGAGACTTCACACACCTTGTCACAGAAGGCATGGATCAATGCACACTGTGCTCAGACTTTACTGGGGGGAAAAAACCATTACGCCTTTACGAAATGGGATTTACAAACAGCCAATACTGCCGTTTTCCCCCCAGTCAGATTTAAATAATCTTGAGGATCATCCATACTAATTTCATAGGGTTTGTAAGCTTTTTTTTTTTTTTGTAATTTTTCTTTTATTGAGGCATAAAATTTACGGGTACAGAATAAAGAAAGGGAGACAATAAAAAGTCATACTGGATGGGGAATCACAGTTCACTATACACCATCTCCGAAAATTGTCGGCATCTTTTTTGTGTATTAAAGGCGTTGTATAGCATTAAGTGCCTGCATGCTTAGTATCGGGGTATGACTTGTAGTAGGAATTAAGGCACCTCTAAATGTGAGTGTGTTGAGCGTGGGACCTTAGTTAGGTGAGCTCGGATAGGTATGTGTGTCGTAGCTGGGTGTGGTTGACTAAGTTGCTACCTGAGAGTGCAGCAGGTAGTGAGCGGTATATTTCGAGCTGTGTTACGCACTCTGGGTGTAATGGGGGGGGGGGGTGAAAGTGGCTTAATGCGTAGTATTATTCGAACGCTTACGGAGCCAGTATTGTGTGGGTTTGGGAAGAGCATAGTTTAAAAAAGCAGCATATGGTGGAGAGAAAAAAGAGAATAAAAACAGAAACCAACAGCAACAGCATTGGAAATAACAAACGTGGAACGGATCAGGTATGTCTCCTGTCATGTGCAACAGGTAAAGGGCGTGTGGGCCCTGCTCTGCTGCTGCTTTAGTTTGGTAGGGCAGTGGTTTTCTGAGCCTCTCTTCTAGGCACGAACAGGGTAATCTCCGCTACAGTCCATGTTGGACGGGTCAGCTGCTGTGTTGTTAGCGCTGGAAGGCACAGTGCCTGCAGGAAGGCTGGTATGTCAGATGCGTGGGATAGCTTATGTGTTTCGCCCGCCTTTTCTGCCTGTAGTCGGTGTGGGCCCCATTTGTAGGGGATGGCTTGTTCCCGGAGTAGCTGGGTGACCGGGCGAAAGGACTTCCTCCACATCATGGTGTGCCTTGAGAAGTCTTTATATAACGTCAGTTGTGCCCCTTCAAACGCCACCGTGGGGGAGCCTCTTGTAGCCCCCATAATCATGCCCCTGTCAGAGTCCCGTATAAATTTAATCAGTACGTCAACGGCTCCTTCGCGTGGTGTGGAGGCCGCCCTGGTGAGTCTGAAACAAGAGTCTATTGTGATCAACTTAGCTTGTCGTGGCGTAAGTAGTGTGGCAATTCCGAGCCGGTGAGTGTCTTCGGCACTCCACGAACCCGCAGGTTTCTTGCCTTGTACCGGTCCTCCATGCCAGCCAGTTGGGCTTGTTGGTCCGCGTATTGCTTGCGGAGTAAGCTCAGCGCCGCATCCGTGGCACTTTGCGCCAGTTTAGTGTCCCCCAGGCCCACCTCCACATTTGCCACTTTATTGGTGAGTGTGGCTACGTCTGCCCTTACCAGCGCCATGTCCGCTTGGAACATGGCCTGAATGTCCTTCACCAAAGCTTTGATATCCGCCAAAGTGGCTGGAGCAGCGTTCCCCATGTCCACGGGTCTCTGTGGCAGTTGTTGCGTGCGGGTCAGCAGTGCAGGCTCTGCAAAGTAGCTATCCTCGTCCGAGGATTGTGAGGCATAGATCTTGGGTGCCATCTTGGACTCAGCAGGCTGCGACGTGGCTCGAAGAAAAGCCCCTATATCTCCGAATCCCGTGCCCGGATCATCCCTCTGCTTCTTGCTCTTCTTCCCCATATTGTCGGTAAGCTGTGAACCGGTTTAGGGGCCCAGTGTGTGCAGGGATTATGGCTCTGGGCGAGTTAATTTAGCGTGTCGCACGGAGCGGTCTGAAGATGCGGCCGGTTAGCTCGTGTGCTGGCTCCGCCCCCCAGGGTTTGTAATCTTTTCATCCCTTACATCCTTACATTACATAAGGGTCCTGCTTGCCTTCACCTTGCATTTACATTTTGTACACAGATTACCAGGCCTGGCCAGAAGGTAGATTTTCCAGCTGTTTTAGATCAACAACTTACCTGGATCCTGATGCATCATGGGTATTTGAGTTATACTAAAACAGACCCAGTTACTACCTACCATATAAACCACTGCTGCAGATGAAACTGGTAACTGTATTGGTGATGGTTGCTGACTATTTACCAAGTTCTGTTAAATTTCATTTAAAAAAAACATTAAACAGAAAAACTCCAACATATAAAACGTAAGAACATACAAACCGGAAAGGATTATTGGAAAAAGAGAAAGAAAACAGCGCTAAATTGCCACAATAAAATTATAAGAAAGGCAGCAATCCTCAAAGGGGAGTCCCCAATAATCCCCTAATGATAACAGATAGCAAGAACAAACATAGATATAAGGATGCGCCTAAAACTTGATAAAATAAAAGACTAAATTAGTCAGATAAAATACAGAATAAAATAAGTAATAAAACAATAGTCCAATAAAATAGGCTTATCACAGTCCGTGAGGGTAGGTCCCACTTGTAAAGGAATATTCTTTAGGGTGTAGGTGGGATTGTATCTTCAAATGTTGAGAATTCAGCATATGTGGAGAGAAAAATAAAAACAGTACTCCAATGGCACAGTAAATCGGTGTATAAAATAAATATAAAGGTATAAAATCAGTCTTACTCACACTTTTCAGAGCTAGGATCAGCTCTGATATTGCTCGCGTAAAGTGGAATAATCCCCACTTCAAGGATATATGGAGTAAATGTTGATTGTTGAATATCTGACGGGGGTTCAGCGCTCAATTTGACGTGATACGACCCAGAGGAAAAAATGAAATAAAATATATAGTGCTCACTGTATGTAATAAAATTAAAAGAAAGTAAAGTATACTACTCACGTAAAGTAGAGCAGACTCAAAACTGCTCAGTGAAGGCGCTCAGGTGGTATAAACCCCACCTATGGATTCTTTGCACTTCCTGCAGGGTGAGCCGTATACGTAAAAGCAATAAAAGAAAATGTATGTAAAATCAGGTAAAGGAAAAAGCAAATGGCAATAAAGTATTTTATGCCAATAAAATATCTTTATTATAGAGTTATGAACAAAATCTATTAATATCTAAACGCGTTTCGCCTTAACAGGCTTCTTCAAGTAGATATCTTGCTTTTACGTATACGGCTCACCCTGCAGGAAGTGCAAAGAATCCATAGGTGGGGATTATACCACCTGAGCGCCTTCACTGAGCAGTTTTGAGTCTGCTCTACTTTACGTGAGTAGTATCCTCTACTTTCTTTTAATTTTATTACATACAGTGAGCACTATATATTTTATTTCATTTTTTCCTCTGGGTCGTATCACGTCAAATTGAACGCTGAACCCACGTCAGATATTCAACAATCAACATTTACTCCATATATCCTTGAAGTGGGGATTATTCCACTTTACGCGAGCAATATCATAGCTGATCCTAGCTCTGAAAAGTGTGAGTAAGACTGATTTTATACCTTTATATTTATTTTATACACCGATTTACTGTGCCATTGGAGTCCTGTTTTTATTTTTCTCTCCACATATGCTGAATTCTCAATATTTGAAGATACAATCCCACCTACACCCTAAAGAATATTCCTTTACAAGTGGGACCTACCCTCACGGACTGTGATAAGCCTATTTTATTGGACTATTGTTTTATTACTTATTTTATTCTGTATTTTATCTGACTAATTTAGTCTTTTATTTTATCACGTTTTAGGCGCATCCTTATATCTATGTTTGTTCTTGCTATCGGAAAGGATTATTGGATGCTAGAGTACAGATCTCACCACCATGCAATCTGCTTACAAGAGATTCTATTAAAAGAGGTGTTGATGGAGACACAGAGTAGAAAGATTCTCCTGGAGGGATTGAAAGTACATTGTAAGAATTGTTGACAGCTAGCCGAAAAGGTGAGGTAGTTGTCAGTCAGCCAAGTATTAACAATTAGCCAAGAAATGTATATTATTGTACGGCAGACAGACTTTTCCCTTTTTGCCAGGCAAAAAACTTGGCAAGTAACGAAGAAGCTCTGAAGGAGTCTAAACACAGAGACCAACAAAGTGCTTTATATACACTGTTTGCAATGGACTGTTTGAACAATATATACTTTGAATGCATATCAATGTTGCAAGTCACGAATTATAACAAGACAGAGTTGGCTGGATTTGAAACACCTTTATGGCCAATAACAGTCTATGCCATGGGTCGTCAACCTGGTCCCTACCGCCCACTAGTGGGCGTTTTAGGATTCCAGGTGGGCGGTAGGGATTTCTGAGGCTAAATCCTCTTTTTAAGAGGATTTCTCCTTTTGGGCGGGCGCGAGCGGCTCTGCATGCGCAAGTCTTCAGTGACCGGCAGGAGGAAGCGCTCCCTCCTGCCAGGCCACCTTCTGGACCCCCCGGCATGGCAGAGTTCTAATCAGTCGCGGCGAGGGAGCTCTAACCTCTCTGCTCTGCTCCCTCGCGCGATGTTTGCTGATGCCGCGGGAGCCGGAATATGATGTCATATTCCGGCTCCCGGCATCCGTAGACAGTCCGCGAGGGAGCAGAGCAGAGAGGTTAGAGCTCCCTCGCTGCGTCTGATTAGCCGCCCGCCTAAGTGAAGCCCCACTGGACCCCAGGGACAGATCCACACCAGCTCTCCAGGTAGGGAGGCTGGGTGGATATTTAATATTAATAATTTGTGTGTATATGTGTTTGTCTCTAAGTGTATGTGTGTGTGTGTCTGTAAGTGTATGTGTGTGTGTCTGTAAGTGTATGTGTGTGTGTGTGTGTGTGTCTGTGTCTGTAAGTGTGTCTGTAAGTGTATGTGTGTGTGTCAGTAAGTGTGTGTGTGTCTGTGGGTCTGTCTGTGTATGTGTGAGTGTCTGTAAGTGCATGTGTGAGTATGTGTATATTTGTGTGTATGTGTTTCAATGTGAGTGTGTGTGTGTGTATGTGTTTGTCTGTGAGCAGAGTACTTGTAGAATAGAAGAAAGAAGGTGCAGAGTACTTGTAGAATAGAAGAAAGAAGGTGCAGAGTACTTGTAGAATAGGAGAAAGAAGGAGTAGAGTACTTGTAGAATAGGAGAAAGAAGGAGTAGAGTACTTCTAGTATAGGGGAAAGAAGGAGTAGAGTACTTCTAGTATAGAGGAAAGAAGGAGTAGAGTACTTGTAAAAAAGGAGAAGGAAAGAAAAGGAAAAGGAGAGAATTGTTGTTGACTAATAATAGTAAGTGGGCTACCTAGCTCAGCCTTCCTACTGGGCATTGCTATAAGGAAGGTTAAAAAATAGAAAAAAGGGGAAAAAGGTGGGAAGGGGAATTGAGGAGGGAGAGGAGGGGAGCTGACGCACAGATGAGAAATCATTTTATGAGCAAACAAAGAAGTCTTCCGATTATCACTGAAAGAGGAGACCTTCGCTTGTTCCTTATGAAAATCGAACCAGATATCAAATATTTAGTCTCGCAGCATCAACCTCAAGGATCTCATTAATCACTAGTAAAGGTAAGCTCAATTTACTTTATTGCTTCCTCATTAAACTTTATAAAGTTAAAAACATTATAAACATGCATAAAGTAGAAATAAAAAGATAAATGTACGTTCATTTATGTATTTTTTAAAACACCCTCCTTTCTAAAAAATATTCCGCGCTTGCGCGAAAACTGGTGGGCGGTAAGGAAATTTTTCCATCAAGAAAGATGCATTAGTGGGCGGTAAGTGGAAAAAGGTTGACTACCACTGGTCTATGCTCTATGCCATCAGAAAAATCTGTTTAATTGGATTGATCATGCCATTTTGTAAGGACCACTATAGGTACCCAGACCACTTCAGCTCAATGAAGTGGTCTGGGTGCCAGGTCCATCTAGAGTTAACACCCCCTGCTGTAAACATAGCAGTTTCAGAGAAATATGGGTTAATCCAGCCTATAGTGGCTGTCTCATTGACAGCCACTAGAGGCGCTTCCGCGCTTCTCACTGTGATTTTCACAGTGAGAAGACGCCAGTGTCTATAGGAAAGCATTAAAAATGCTTTCCTATGGACTGACTGAATGTGTGCGCGGCTCTTGCTGCGCATGCGCATTCAGCCAATGACGTCGGAAGGAGGAGGAAAGTTCCCAGCGCCGAGGGAGCCTGGCGCTGGAAAAGGGTAAGTGTTTAACCTCTTCCTACCCCTAGAGCCCGGCGGGAGAGGGACCCTGAGGGTTGGGGGGACTTATTAACACTATAGTGCCAGGAAAACGAGTTTGTTTTCCTGGCACTATAGTGGTCCTTTAATGAATGAGACGATGTATAGAGATAACATGGTGGACAGACCTTCTAAAACTTCTGATTGACGGTAGGAAAAATTTATTTAACACTCTATATGATTCACTATGAATGAAACTTATTCTATATTTTCAATATATTCTAGATGTGGATTTTCTGGTTGATTTCATAAAAAAGGTAAATTTCTTCCTCGAATTGTATAATTTAATAGAATCTACTTCCAGAAAGAGAAAGACAATCCTGTTTGAGGGAGTAAGAAGAGACTTCTCTGAGTTTATTGTCCAGCCATGTTGCTGAAACAATGATGGTGAACTGAATATTTTCTTCTAGCTGGCTTATATAACATGCCTTTAAGAGTAAGTTCTTCGGATGTGGTACTACTGCAATATGCCTTATTCTCTCACTGATAAAAGCATGATTTTCCTACATTTCCTGGGTGCCAGAGAAGAAAGAACAAATAGAAGCGACTTGAATTGGAAATTAGAGCTTTCTCTTTTTGACTTTATCTCTAATCCAAGATTACTGGTTGTAACTGCCGTGAGCAAGTGTAGGTGGGCATCGTTAAGGTCTACAGTGGCCATAACATTATCTCTTTGGAAGATGTGAGTGAAATGCACCTGTTGACCTCTTTTAGACTGAATTTTAAAAACTTACAAAAAAGGTCTTTTCTAGCAAAGAGAAGCTTTATTTCACCTTAGAAGGCCTCTGTCTGCGTGGCTCAAACTCTTTCATTCGAAAGCAGAATTTATATTAATGATTAGGATTTTAAATGTATCCCGGAACAAATGATCTGACAGTAGCAGTAGTGCTGTAGGATCAGTGTGCAATGCATTCACAACCGGCTTATGGAACCTAGAACTATGGTGCAAACAGTTTTAAGTGATTCAACTAAATAAAATTAAAAATTCCTGGTAACTGATCAAATATGATTGCAATAATATTAATTTATATATATATTATTTTTTTATTATTATTATTTTTTGATGTGCATTGTATAGTCAAAATAACATCTTGTACATTGCTAATTCAATAGTAAGAGGTAATAGCTAGTAAACAAACATAGTGAAAATGAGTAGAAACCACTGGATTACTGCATGGAATGCTGCAAAGCATTTGGGCTCAGCTCCAGGAGACTGGTGGTGATGGCGTGCAGGTAAGTCTGCTGAATCCTCTGGGCTCAGCCTATTCCCTCCTCCTGCTTGGGTACGTTAACATCAGAGTCCCGGCATGAAGGGGAATCTGGTGGGTGCCACTCCACCATCCCCAGGCACAACATGAGCCTTCAACCTGTGCCCTCGGTTCCGGCGCAATTTGGGGCCAACAACGGGAGGTCCTGGATATGGTGTTCCGCCAGGGCTTAGGGCAGTGGTTCAAGGGATAACCTCTGGGGGCTCAAAGCAGGCGCGGGGACCATTCTCAATCATCCGGTACAAAGGCTCGGCTTGCGCCATAGAAGTCCAGTAATAGGAACAGTAGCCAGCAGATACCATAGCTCAAAAATGCATCCATGAACAAGTAGCGTGGCTTTGCCCATTGAAGGCCACATAGTTGCCATTTTGTTGGTCTGTTGCGGGTGTCCGATTGCTAGGTGGGCTTGCAGGTAATGTGTACTGGTGTCGGCACCCTCCAGGGGGAATGGGGTAACCCCCACCAGTCCATGCAGGGAGGGAAGGAAACAGGGCCTGTGAGCTGTGTCAAAGAGCTATTGTATGGCAGCCAGGCTAATGAGCAGGGCAGTGGCAGTCTGCCCTGCTCCTCTCCCGGGTAGGCTGCAGGCTCCAAAGTTTCAGAACACCCATATGGGCTTAAAAACTCCAGGTCTCAGAGTCCACAGTAGCACCAACAACTACTCTCACACTTAGAAAGTTCCCACAGCATAGATGGTAGAGGTAATCCCTGAATTTCTGCATAAAAATTAGAGATTCTGCAGGAGCCGCTCCAGCATGTGACCAATCAGCATGGCAGACAGGCAGGCATCTCACCAGGGAGAAAACACTTAAAGGAGTACATAGGGGCCGACAAAAAAATTACAACGTTTAGACAACATAAAGCTGGGGAGTGGGGTGGGCATAAAAACGATTTTTACTTAATTTTTCACCTTACTATTGAGTGCTATGTAATGCACTGTTTAGTAAATAAAGCCTGCAATTTCTGCTCTCTAATTACATACACCGACGCCATGTGATAAACTAATGTCACGTTTGATACTATCTCTTTTAAAATACTGTTTTCATGTCTCTGTAGCTTAATTAAGACAACAAAATAATGAGGTAATAAATATTTATATAAAATGCTACCTACATATGTACAGTGTATACAGATATATAATTTGCACAAAATACCTTAAGCACATTCAGTCAGAATTTCAAGGTCATTCAAACAGATCAGCCATGCGATGTGTCTGTATAATTTTAAAGGGTTTTAGGCGTAATATGCGATTTGTTTGCCTTTACTAGAGCACAGTGTTCATTGTGGGATTCAGCACCACGGACAGCAACAGAAAGGATTTACTGCCTAACCTATATGTATAAACACACCATATGCAAGACGCTGATGATAAACAAATTTAGAATTCAAAAGGAACAAGGGTAATTGTTTTTTTGCCCTGTAAGCTTGCACTCACTCTAGTGTATATAATGCTGTGACCTGGGTTTCTGGTTTTTGAAGTTCACAATGCATAAAATAAACGAGGCATCAACCACTTCCTGGTTTAGAGGAAGCTCATCATAGCACATCCTGCAAAACCTGGAATTTTCCTAGAAAGGCAGGGATTTTAAATGAAAAAAACATTTTTTTTTTTTTTTTTATCATTTGTAATTTTTTTCCTGTTTTTACATATATTTTCTCAACATATCTATACAATGATAATAAATAATAATAAATAATAATTAGTCCAACCCGGCTTGCGGTCCCCCTTTAATAAACCTACAAACTAAAAACCTAAAACTGAAGATCTACGTAGAAAAGCAGAGAGCTGCGTGCTTTACAGACGTGGATCGGAGTTTGTGTTTATGAAAAGAGGGGTTTATGAGATCAGGTTTAGGTCACAAACACAGCAGGAAGAAAAATTACATTTGACAACTTTCCTATTCATTGTAAAGGTACATGATAGACAGGTTGAAGGGGGCTTTACGCCAATATGAAGGGAACATTTAAGTGTTAGCTCAGCACTGCAAAAACTAGATTCAAAAGGGAAAAAAAAAATCATTTGTTACTGCAAAGAATCAAAATCTATTTCTATAGCTTCTAGACAGAACATATCTCTCCTGTTCCCAACAGATAAGCATTGGGTAGATAGATTGTCTCGCACAGTGAAAGAATCTTATCAACACTTACATTCATTTGGGAAGAAATCATCCATCCGATAACACTGGCCAACGTACATCAAACCTCTTACTGTATATGAATGCTAGAGAGACAAATCCTCAAATCAAAAGATTTTCCTGCTTAAAATGAAACTCTTCTGAAGCACTGACCCTGTCCCCCCCATTTTCCTACCCCTGGTTGGAGAAGGCACGGCGGAAATTTGCTGAATTTCTTACTCGTCAAAGATTTAGTCAGGGCTAAAGAACCTAGAACATGCTGTACCATATATCCACATCACTAACAGAGAAATACTCCAATAACAAACAGCTCTATGGTAATATCAGCGAGCCCTTTTTATCTTTTTATTGACGTGAATAAGGACACAGTCACAGCGGAGTCTTAAATGGGGCTGTATCACCCTGTAGGCAGTGGTAATGTGCAGGGAAAATGGAGTTTGGAAATCCTTATGGCCACCAGGGGAGACACACTTTTACAATCACTGATTGTAATGGGAGAAAATAACCAATTGGATCATTATCTCAAGACTAGATTTACGCATTTGTACATACGGATAGTCTGGAGAAGAGAGAGATGACTGTATTATCTTTAGGTGCACTATGTTGGACTGAGATTATACCAGCAAAGAGGAAGTAAACAACTAAAATTGTGTCTAACATGTAGTGAGAGTCTAGGAGTTGTGATATATGGGAAAAGGCTTCCCTAAATAGGAGGCGGTAGAAATACCCATAATGCATCCCTTCAGAATGCTCCTCCTTCTGAAGATATCCCTTTAGAATCTTCGATTCTAGGTATAGCCAAGCAGAAGTACAAGACGAGGCACAAGCACACATGGGCGCCCGTCACCCCCCCAAACGTTGTTTTCCTTGGGTGATGAGACATACGTTATTTTAAAACACAGACAGTACAGGGCATACAGGCCACCTCAAAACATAGTGCGGATAGAGTCGATGACTGAATGTAACCTCGCTGCCAAGAACGGCATGGATGCAAACATTTAAAAAATATATATAAAATGACAATCTAGTGGCTGCCCTATAGAATTTTTATTTACAGAAGCCATAAAGTGAAACGGCCCATAAGGTAGCCACCGCTCGAGTGCAATAAGCAGTGATCCTGTCTGTTAGAGACCGGGAAGAAGCCAGTTAAGCCAGTCGGTGGAAAGATTTTATTCATAAAGGGTCTAGTAGCCTTAAAGGACCACTCTAGGCACCCAGACCACTTCAGCTTAATGAAGTGGTCTGGGTGCAAGGTCCCTCTAGGATTAACCCTTTTTTTTATAAACATAGCAGTTTCAGAGAAACTGCTATGTTTATAAATGGGTTAATCCAGCATCTAAAGCCTCTAGTGGCTGTCTCATTGACAGCCGCTAGAGGCATTTGCGTGCTTCTCACCGTGAAAATCACAGTGAGAAGATGCCAGCGTCCATAGGAAAGCATTACGAATGCTTTCCTATGAGACTGGCTGAATGCGCGCGCAGCTCCTGCCGCGCATGCGCACTCAGCCGAAGAGGAGAGGAGAGGAGGCGGAGAGGAGGAGGAGGAGAGCTCCCCGCCTGGCGCTGGAAAAAAAGGTAAGATTTAACCCTTTCCTCGCCATCAAGCCCGGCAGAAGGGGGACCCTGAGGGTGGGGGCATCCTCAGGGCACTATAGTGCCAGAAAAACAAGTATGTTTTCCTGGCACTATAGTGGTCCTTTAAGGGCAAAGGTGGAAGGAGGGGTGACAGCCTCATGATTAACATTAGTGAAAGAGTATTACACAGTCTCAGGAAAGACGCAAAGCCAACATTCTGTCTGGCAAAGCACAAGCAAACCCACAAGGGGAACACTGCCAACCCAATGCACTCCTTGACCCTCAATAGCAAACACATCCTCAACTTCAGACTTGTAGAAAATAAAAAAAATTGTCCAAGACTGGACCGATTGTGTTTCTCTCTAAATTTAAATAGATGCTTCTATAGTGGAGATGATTGTCAAGTGCAGTGTATACGGCAACGCAATCCACACAGCACAGCATTATTAGCAAGAGGAAGTGCTCTCCACAGGCAGATTACAGGAAACGTCTAGATAAACAAACCTTACACAAAATGAATTCGGATTGATTTCCTTTAAATTACAATTCCTTTAATTACTTCCAGGAATATGTATGTAATTAATCTATGCGGCAGAGTGCAGGCCACTTGGTGTGAAGTTCTATGGATTGTCTGTCGCTCTAGTGAAGTTATTTGCTACATTGACTGAGGTTCCAAATAAGAGCTGTCCGGTTCCCTGGGGGCCATATGACTGACAGAGTTTTAGAATTTTTCCAATGAAATTAACTGTTTTATACCGATCATTAAATAGACACTCCAGATAACGCATGAAATTGTAAATGAAAAAAATATTAGTTGGAAAGACATTCAATGTTAAGTTTATACAGTTAGTTCTCATCAAACCAGGAAATGCCTCAGCCAATCTTCTCGCTCTGTTAACTTTCTAAATTACTATTGGGCTTACTGCATTAGCGTGGCTTTATAGGCACAGCAAGGGATTCTGGGAGTTATAGAAAGCTAAACTACACAATGAAATTTAACTTTGTGAACCTTTTGAAAAGTATCTAGATTTCTTCTGTAACTTGATATAAAAATGGAACCGATCTTTGTTGAAGTCATATTACGAAAGAGAATGAGATGAAACCAATATCAAAATAATGTATTTTTCAGGTCATTGTTGGGGGATGTTTTTTGTTTTGTTTTTTTATAACTGGGTATTTTCTTTTTTTGGTTTTGTTTCGATTTTTTCATATCTGTTATAGAACTACCTACATATTTTTTTTCTTTTTTTTTTGTAAGCACTCAAATGTATGTACCGGTATATCGGATTCAGCTTCCTGTGTATGTCTGCTGGTACTTTTGTGAATATTCAACATAGTACAACCTGTAATAAGTAAACTTTAAACAAAGCTAAAAAAATTATAAATAATAATTCACAACAATTAGTCGGTTTTAGCTTATTAAAAGCCAGCAGGTGAACGGTTGTCTTTAAAGAAGAAATCTAGCGAAGGAGGTAGAATAGAATAGGATTGTGAGAATAGAAGAGAATGAACAATGAATATGCCATAGTCAACAAAACTCTCAAAAGCACTTAACAATTCAGACAAGCTCCATAGAAAATCTACATTGAAGTGGAGGACATAGAATGAGAGGGAGCAGTAATTATGTCACAATTAAAGGACTTCCTGAGACTGAACAACCTTAGGACATCACACAAGCTCTTACTGGGATTTTTAATGATCACGGCAAAAGCAGAGTGTGGCCACAATTGAATTTGAAAAAGCACATAGAATCTGCTTTTCTTTATCACCAAGAGACACTGCATGCTGCTTACATGAATTTCAGGTAAAATATGAAATAATGAGAAGACCCCGGCAGAAAATCAGCTATCAGGATCAGCAAGAGCGGCACATTTTCTACCCTGCATGTTGGTATATAAAGCAGGATCGCAAACGGCCCTCTCTCCTTTTACAGTAATCTCGTCTAAAAGAGAAGTATTTCTAGTTAGTAGCTTTTTAAAAATAAAAAAAATAAAAATGTGCTCCACATTTCTGAGCGGTATACAAAGCAGAGTGCCTCGATGCTATTTACATCCCAATTATTTCAGATTCAGGGCAGAAATTAATGGTTCAAACTTGCTGCCGCAGAGGGACTAGCACAGAAATTTATCACATATTATTTGTTGATAGCTAGTGCGGATTACACTATTTTTGGAGGATGCACCATCTACAGCAATCACACTTATTACCCACTCCATTATTTAGAAGTATATTATCCTTTAGGATACTGTGGTTTTGACGGTTTAGTATTATGTTAAATCGGTTATGTGTTTTATTACATGGACACACACCTATATTTGTTTATTTTTTAGCAGCCTGCCGCCTTTTGGTTTTTAGGGGTCCCTCATTTCACTGCGAGATGTTATCAGCTGGGAGAACTTGCAGTAGAATATAGAACAACACTGACAGTTCAGACAACACAACCATAATGTTCTGACGCACAAGGCTTAGGGCAAATTATCACAAGAAATTAACTTTTCATATGTTCTAGCATATATTAATATCTACTAAGCAGCAGAAGTCTAATCCCCCCTCCAGGCTCTCTACTGTCAGTGAGCGATTACATTGATTTAAAAAATAACCGGTGTAACTAAAAACTGAAAACCTTTTTGTTATATTAAATATAAAACTGTTAATATTTACTTCTTCAATTTAGCCATGATACATTAATCAGATAAGTTCAAAAACTAGATAACTAAATTACTTTTTTGTTCCAGAGAGTTCTTATTAATTATATCGGTCATCAGCATATACAATAACGTTAGTCTGATACATGGGTGACTGTACATTAATACTAGATTAATACCAAGCACGGTTACAATGGAATATTTAATAATTCGAATAAACATTGTGAACTACCAGAATATGTAGACATTATGAAGGGGGGAAAAAAGCAAAAATTCTATAAATCAATACATACAGTGTTAAAAAATAGCCACACTAAAGAAATACGGTCATATCTGAAATATTTATGTGGCAAGTTTGGATATTCTAGGAAATTCTCAAATACCTTATTTTCTAACTTAACAGCACACTGAACACTTACACCTGGGACTGTGAACCACCCTTCTCCTTGGTACATAATCATAACCCTTTAGCCCAAATCCTACCCACATTCACCAGCAGGGGATCTCTAAGCAAGAACATTAACTATTTTTTGTTTTTTGTATATATGAAAAAAACAAAAAAGAAAAACAAATTATTGTCCATTGTGATTTTGACTTTAAAATCCATTACATCCCGATGTATGTGGGATGAATGGAGTATTTCATGAAAAAAGCCTTTTAAAAAGATTTTTCAATTTTTCTGACATTGCTTGGTGAAATGACAGGACAAGCACTTATTTTGAATGTTCCTGACAAATAGCAACAGCTCTTTTTATTTCAGCATGTCTCAGTTCTCGGATACAAAGAGAGCCGGAGCTGAAAAACACATGGCTTGCGTTGCCGAAGCTCACTAAGTGTAACGCTGAATTGTAAGAGCCACTAATGCACAGAGTCTAACTTAATACATTAAAGACTTGGACTAAACAATAATGTGGAAAATTGGCTTTTCGTTGTTTTTTTTTTTTTGTAAACAGAAAACTACAAATGTAATAAAAAAAAATATGTTCTGCAGACAGCAATAATGGTGCTTTGTTAAATAATGGGGTAAAAAAATATTACAAACGCATTTATTAAATGATGTAATAGGCTAAATTGAGCATGGGAAGGATTGCTATTATTTCTTGCGAATTCCTGTGGCCATGTTAAGAGCCCATACGGCAGTTCTATTCAGCAGTAAGCACAGAGCACTGTGAATTTAAAGCATTAGGAGTTCAAAGCAAATCCAAAACGTTAACATGTCAGGATGGCTGAATAACTATTGTGCATCGCCAGGAGAGCTTTCATAAACATACTGAAATATCGCACCCTGCCTGTTTAGTCGAATTACATGAAAGTGGGCTTACTGTACCCCAAAATATTCAGTGCACATAAAACACAGAGAAATAGTCACACTGTATAGGAAGACCTATGAAAAATGTTTTTTTTTTTTTTTTAATTACAAAAAAATAAGTCTACCAGCAAAAGACAGTGTGCGTTAGCAACCTAAGAATCATAGGTTCTGCGTATACGGGGCGCGAGTGCCAAGGTTCTGCGCACACCAGGCTAGAGTGTCAAGGTTCCGCTCCCTCCCTCAGGCGAGAGAGTCAAAGTCAGTACCTACAGGGCTAGTTGCGTGCATACCGCCCACAAACGGCAACGTTAAGCGCATACCGTCTGCGAGCGCCAAGGCTCCGCACATACCAAGCGGGAGCATCTAGGTTCAGGCACGTGATGGGTAATAAAATAAATCTTTGCATTAAATTAAAGGATGTTACAATTCTGTCATAAGATTGGGGTTACACAGGACAAATCTCCTGAGAGTTACACATCTATACATTACACGCTTTTTCTGTCACACAGACCTGCAGCTCCTTCACAACACGTTTGATGAGGTACGTGCCGAGTTCCACCCCCTGCAGTCCCTGCTGAGTTAGACTTATGGAATAAAAGATGGCTGACTTGATCTTGTTTCCATCTTCAAGCTCAGATGGCGGGATTTCCTTAACTATTGCCTGTAAACAAAAAACAGAAAATTAAAAAACGGCAAAAAAAAAATCCAACAAAAAAGACAGTCACTAGAACAGTGCCGACATTTTTAAATAGCCGTGCATGTTAGACACTTCTCATACCAGATACACATACTTTCTTATTTAATAAATCAATTATATTTCACTTTAAGTGGAGTCTACAGAGTACAGGAGCTGGTAATATTCAGGTCACAGTCACAAATATCAGTATTTAGAAGGGGAATATGTCTGTACATATTTAGAGATGTTCCAGTTTACTGACCTTCCTCTGGAGTTAGGATGGTAGAGGTTCATGGGAAAGGTAGTTCCCAACCACTTGGGTGTGCCCACATTAGACATCCCGGGTTCTGTCATTATCTCTGCATTGTTATATGAGGAAATCTTGCAAACATACACTCAGATTAACGAGGCTCCCTGCCGCCATGCCTTGTGAATTACCGTAGCCATCATTCTTTGTAACTAATTTGATATTCAAAATTAACATACACCTAGGCGAGATCCTCCATTCTTTCATTCTCTGAAGAAGCGAGACCTCTATAATAATGAAATGCGTGTCCCTTTTTATCTGTTGTGCAGATCTCGGTTGGGCTCAGCAGGGCTCCGCGATGGGGCCAACTCCTGACTCACTGACACTTTGAGTGAGAGAAAAACTCTGAACAGCAAATTAAGAGCACTTTTCTTTCATGACTTTAAAAGGCCCGGCTTTCTTATTAAGTCAGAGGCTTCGGCAACGCTCTGTATTCATGGACTCCCCGCAGATATGATTGCAATACTTATTGACGGCTTCTTTTCAATCTCTACAGCTTAACTTTTACATTGCCGAGCGAGCTTGCAATACCTTAGTAGTCGGCAATAATATATCCTACCACAGAGAAAAAATATTTAACAAAGTAGTCATGATCATTAATGTTCTCCAGTTTTTTAATTGTAGAAAAAAATAAAATAAAGAACTTATTTGTACAACAATTTGTGAAACAAAGATCAATCTCTACCAATCACCCAAAGAATCAGGTCTCAAATCCAACCTGTTTAACCCCTTAAGGACACATGACATGTGTGACATGTCATGATTCCCTTTTATTCCAGAAGTTTGGTCCTTAAGGGGTTAAAGGAACACGCTACACACAGCTTACTGAAATGCTTTATGTCTGAGGATATGCTTATTTTAATTGCAGTTTATAAAAGTACTCCTTTTTATTTGAAAATTAGCACTCTTATAAATAAAGAATTGCAGAAACAGGGGGCTGAAGATGTCCCGACGCATTTTCACCTAGCTCCGGCTCAGAGCATCTATAATCACGGCTGAATTGCCATTCAGTGATGTGGGAAACTTCAAGGTAAAGCCACAAACTGGCCTTATCAATGCCTGTGCCGGTATTGGTGCTCGGCGTACCCTGAAGGGAAACCGCTGTAACCGCGGGCGGAAACGCGGTAGGGGACCTACAGGTAAGTGCGGTCGTGACACCTTGTTTGGAACCTGCAGTCTAGTGCTTCAGGCGACTGGGGGAGGCGGCTGATCTCCCATGCCAAAGAGTGTTGCTAGCTGTAGCCTCCAACCAGTGACGTTACCTCCCCCTCCACTCCCCCCACACCAGTGGGGGATATCCCAGTCCCCATCAGAGACGGCTACAATACTCGTACTCACCTTGCTACAAAAGCCCCTGTGGTGTATCCAAGATGGCCACCATTACAACCAAGCATCTGTTCAGCTGGGAATCCAAGTTCCATGTGGAATTTGAGGCCTTGTGTGTAGCCTTCTGGACCTGGATCGAGTCCCGCCAGCAACGGTGCATACTCACCTCAGCTGAGACCGTAGAGGCTCCAGCGACGCTCCGACACCCTGTTCTTCTTCTGGTCCGAGAGCCGAGAAAGAATATCCGTCAGCCACCCACAACCTTGTGGGACAGTCACATCAAGAGTCCGCTGGAAATGGAGGGCTCAGTGGAGTTACAGCACTGGCTTTTAAGTCTGTGTGGGAATGGGAAGCAAAGAAGTTCCTGTATTACCACACAAATCCTCATGAAGTGGGAGACGCCTACACGTGGCTCGGGCATGGTGCTGGATTAATTTAGCTGCTCATGCATGACAGCGGAATAGGTTCCCACCTAAGATATAAAAGCGGGGCATTGGCTAAAGCGTAGCCTATCTTCACATACTTTATTTGGTGATTCTATTTGCCAACACGCTGTTTTGCCTCTACATAATTTACACAGGTTTTTGTCACTAAAAAGTGTGAATTGTGGGGAATTGGTGAGGACACAACATGCCCCCTTCTAGGTTTAAATACCAAGGCAAATATTTGTCTGAGTCTGGTCCTGCTTATTACATTTATCTTAATATAGACTCAGGAAGTATCATTTTCTGTTTCTTCTTAAAATCTCTTGTGTCACAATCTCTTTCTCACAGCACAAACGGACATCTTGCACAGACATTAACAAATTCGAAGATCCTGAATGAGTGTGTCTTGACGAATACAGATTTTTCCAAAGACTAGACCTACGTAGTGCCTAGTTAACCCTGCCTTGTCCAAAAAAAAGACCAAACACCGACACTGTGAAAATCTATAGAAAAGATTACAATTATATATAGAGCATCAACATGTGACATTGGCCATTATTAAGTCAGTTAGCATGTTCCATGTGCATGGGTACATACGTCTGGTAATCGGTTAGCAGATTTATATAGCAGTATGGGCTCTGTCACGTTGCTTTTTAATTAATCTATTATTCCCCCTCCCCCTATATTTCCTTAATTTTTGTTTTTTTGAAATACATCTTGGGTTTTTAGTTATACATAAGTAAAAGTAAGAAAAAGATAATACATATATAAATAATGGTTAGTGACAATGGGGGAGTGAAATCTTTAAAACACGAAGGCCACAAGCAAAAGAAAACTAAAACAAGAAAAGGCACAACAGAGCTGGTCTAACCCCCGTTACAAATCACCTGAATACTGGCGGAAATATGCTGCATCAAAGCAACATGTAAGACGATGAGGGGCTCCCCCGGCATTGAGCTGTGAGCAAACACATAGCATCTTCTGTAAGGGCCCACCCTGCGCTTCATGTCCGTCCAGTTCCGTACAGGATGCACGGCTTCGTACCTGTCAAGGCAGAATTCATTATGTTCTATAGCCACACTAACACCTCAATAACCGTTACAAGGTTTCAAACTTTAATGCAGCCCTATGGGACTGTAAACAGAGCATCTGCAGATTCTAGGTAGAAAAAACAAACAAACATATACGGACATAATTACATAGTTACATAGGCTGAATAGAGACATGTCAAGATATATCTCCTTTTAAAAGGGATGTGTGTACCAAAAAGTGTTAAAATAAATTAACAGCAGTAGCTCTATACACTTGTGTGGAACACCCTCTCATCCAAAACCAAAATCCCAAATTTTGGGTGTGGATGAGAGGGTATATAGTATTTTTTATCTTTTATATGTACCACAAGTCAAAGATTGTAACAAGGTTACGTGGGGTAAGTTTACCCCATTTCGCACATATATTTTAGCACTCCACTTAAAGGTGTAGGTTTTACTTATACCACTTTACAGATTTTGAAAAGAGACATATGTCCATCAAGTTCAACCTGTCTCACATTTAATTTTTGCTGTTGATCCAAAAGAAGGCAAAAAAAACAAACAAAAAAACAGTGTGAAGCAGTTTTGCAACAAACTAGGAAAAAATTCCTTCTTGGCCCTACAATGGCAGTCAGATAGCTCCTTGGATCAAGAAGCTATTACCCCACTAATTAAACATGATATCCCGTTATAATATGTTTTTGTAAGTATTTATCCAATTGCGGTTTAAACATCTGTACAGACCATGATAAAACCACCTCTTCTGGCAGATAATTCCACATCCTTATTGTTCACACTGTACAAAACCCTTTCCTTTGCCTTAGACTAAATCTCCTTTCTTCCAGTCTAAAGGTGTGACCTTGTGTCCTATGTATAGTTCTATTTATAAATAAATAGATTTCCGGATAATGGTTTGTATTGGCCCCAAATAAAAACATACAAATTTTATAAATACATACAATTTAAAAAAAAAAAAAAGGAAAAAAAACACAAACACGTAAAAGTTTATGTCATAATTGAGGTCACTTTATAGGGGACACAATTTCACCCATACATGATCAAACTAGAAAGTATATAGAGAAGAAAAGAATTTAAAAAAAAAGAAAATATTCTGTTCCTGCCTTTAAAGGACCACCATAGTTTTCCTGGCACTATAGGGTCCTTCTTCCCCCCCCCCCCACCCTCAGGGTGCCCCTGCCGCCAGGCTCAAGAGGGGTTAAGGGGTTAAACACTTACCTTTCTCCAGCGCTGGGCTCCCTCGGCGCTGGGAACTCTCCTCCCTCTTCCGACGTCATTCACTGAATGCGCATGCGCAGCAAGAGCCGTGCGCGCATTCAATTAGTCCATAGGAAAGCATTCCTCAATGCTTTCCTATGGACGTCAGCATCTTCTCACAGTGATTTTCACAGTGAGAAGCGCAGAAGCGCCTCTAGCGGCTGTCAATGAGAAACTGCTCTGAAACTGCTATGTTTACAGCTACAGGGTTAACCCTAGATGGACCTGGCACCCAGACCACTTCATTGAGCTGAAGTGGTCTGGGTGCCTAGAGTGGTCCTTTAAAGGACCACTCTAGACACCCAGACCACTTCAGCTTAATGAAGTGGTCTGGGTGCCAGGTCCTTCTAGGGTTAACCCATTGTTTTATAAACATAGCAGTT